CTTGGGGATGTCCAGAGGCATGGGCAAGTATCCATAAGTTATCCTGAAAATACAGAAAATTCAAAATCATTCAGTGGTGACAGTGGTAAGAGGCCTGTCACCACTGTTACCACTGTTACCACAGTCAACAGAGCATTCCAATGAGGAGTAGTTGTGCCTCAGGGCTTTTATACCAGGAGCCTCATCAAGACAGGATGAGCAACAGGTGAGTAGATTTGGCTCTGCCCCTGCTGCTCAGGGAGCTGCAGAAAAAGATCAGCAACCCCATCAAACAGAATCTCCTCAGTGTTGACTGTCTTCTCAAATAAAATAAAATAAAATAAAATAAAATAACATAAAAAATGCAAGGGATGGCATTTCAAGATTTGTTAAAAAATACTGTTTTGTGGATCCTAAAACACCTTTTCTATGTATATGAACACAGGTCTGAAAAACTTTTGCAAAACAACTCTGTATATGTTTTTTTTTCCTTTTCTTTTCTTTTCTTGTAGGTAGTTATGATTAGACATGTTTCTGTTAAAGTTGGACTGGAATCAGATGATCAGTGCCAACACCTCATCAACACTGTCGCATGGGCAAAGGTGACAACAAGAGCAACAAAGACCAAATATAGCTGTAGTCTTTCCACACACACACTGATACACACACAGAGCCTGGACAAGTTGTAGATGTATTATATCATAATGTGTTTGATCTCAAACAACAATAATATTATTCAAAAAATACAATTTAGTGCAACAAACATTTTTTAATTGTAGAAACGGGAGAGGAAAATTATTTATGTTTATTTAAGTAAAGAATGGTCCACTTTGCAAAGACTTTCCATAAAACACGAGCTCACACCATATCTGAKCTAATAACCCCRGACTAATRTGAAAACTGTCTTCTTTGTGAGACAATTTKATTTAGACTAMGGGGTCTGGCTTTTGTCCCTAACATTCTTGGTTTGTGAGTGTGTGAACAAAATCACCACAACATGAGTAATGACACASGTGCCTCAGATACCCTCCACTACTGTAAATTAGATGTGTGTATTAAAGTGTCCTTCTCCTGGGTCTTTGTTATTAAACACATCATTAATCAATTGACATACCAGCGATGAGACAAACTTGGTGTGGTATGTCAGCACTGAGGTTCGAACTGTCGCCTCACAACAAGTATAAGGTTCGAAACTCGGTATTGACCTGAAGTGATCAGGACTCTGTACCACAGAGCAGACAGTGTCCCTACAAACCCAGGAGC